TTCGGGGGGGGGCTTTGCCCCCCCCCCCCTCCCGAAGAGATGCCTGGAAGAAACTCTGGTCACATATTATATATAGTTTCAAGTCGTGAGAAATACAACAGCGCCAGATCGGAATTTCCCGAAACTTTACTTGCCCACCTTATTCAAGTCACGTCGGAAATTCCCGCTTGAGATTGTATTCAAGTCACATAGCACACGCTCGAACAAAAAAAAAATCAGCGGTAGATAGGCTAATTATTTTCCCACGTTTTCTTTAACTTGCTTTCTCTGTTTGTGTGTTTGTCTTTCCAATCAAATCTTGCGATCGAAATTTCTGGCACTTCCCAGTTAGCTAGCGCGCTGAAATTTTCAGGGAAGCTTTCTTTTGGATGACCATTGAATATTCAATTGTTATTATTACTAAATTGATCAATGGAAACATTTTATTGAGCATTTTAGACCGCTATATAATCTATATATATAATTCTCCTCTGCTAGCCATTAGAAAAAAAACCAGCGACGCGTACCTCGCGCGCAGTGAAGCGAACGATCACATGTCGCCACAGGCTTAGGGGCAGAGAATTTAGCTTGAACTTTGAACCGAGTTTAAACTTACAGGAGCGACGCGTACCTCGCGCGCAGTGAAGCGAACGATCCCACTTCGCCACAGGCTTAGGGACAGATAATTTAGTTTGAACCGAGTTTAAACTTACACGAGGTAGGCCAGTTTGGGGGAGACGATATGGTCGAGTGGTTGGGCACACGATTGCTATCCCACTCGACACGGGTTCAAATCTATGTGTTCTAGTCAGTAACGAGTTGTCTTTTTACGAGTTGTCTTTTTACGAGTTGTCTTTTTACGAGTTGTCTTCGTTTACCCAAAAAAAGTGAAAAGATAAAATCGATAGCAAGATTTTAATGCAAGCAAACAAAGACTAAAAAGTAGAAAATAATAATCATTAAAAAAGTTTTAAAAAACCCACGTTTTCTGATTGAACTAAAAAGTAGAAAATAAACGCTATACATCACAATAATGCAAGCGATCACTCTACTATAAGCGATCAAAAACGTGGGGCGCCGTGATTTTCTTACAGTTTCTAATACTGTTGACTCTCTACAAGCTCCCTAATAAAAGTCAATAGTATTATCTAATCAATAGTAATATAACTTTTACTTCGGCGCCCCACGTTTTTGATCGCTTATAGTAGAGTGATCGCTTGCATTATTGTGATGTATAGCGTTTATTTTCTACTTTTTAGTTCAATCAGAAAACGTGGGTTTTTTAAAACTTTTTTAATGATTATTATTGTCAGCTCAGCTCAAGATGAATCGGTTCTTACCGTAAGGTACCTCGAAAACCTTCTTCATCATACGTAACAGGGGTTCTAAAACAGAAGTATCCCAAATTATAATGAAACAAACTTTTTTTCTTTAAGAATTGAAAATTATCAATTCCGTTTTTCGTACTTCATAATTAATGTCTTTTTCTATTATTATCATATTATTCCAATAACAATTGACGCTTTTAAAGTATTTTAAACCATATATATATATATATATATATATATATATATATATATATATATATATATATATATATATATATATATATATATATATATATCAGTGCAAAGGCGCAGCGAGGGGGGGGGGGGTGCGGACCGCACCCGGTGACACCATTTAGGGAGGAGGTGACACCAAGGCAAAAAGTAGCAAAATATATACAGAAAAATGATAATTTCACTTCATTAAATTATTAATTAGAGTGAATTAAATAGTCTTTTAAGAGCAAATTTGAGAAACCCGACACGGGTGGAGGGGGGTGACACCATGACATAAACCTGCTAATGATAAAACATACAACGTTCAGTTGAATTTATAACCGAATATAGATACAAATCGTTAGTATTATCTGCGCACCGTTTAAAGCAATCACCGTGGGGGTGACGGAGAGGGGGGGGGAAGATACATCAACTCAACGTTGCAATATATATGCCTAATGAAAACGGTTTAGTTGAGAATCGTAATAACCTATATGTTAATCTATGTATGGGGGGTGTGTGTGGGGGGGGGGGTAAAAAAAATTAAATACATCCAGAAGAAAAAAAAATGTTAATACATAAACACATTCGTATACACATACTTAAAATTGTATATATATATATATATATATATATATATATATATATATATATAGACAGAGAGAGAGAGAGAGATTTTTTTCTTACGGGGGGGGGGGGGGGGGGGGGTAACTCCATTAGTTGCCGCACCGGGTGACACCCGACCTCACTACGCCACTGTAGCAGTGTATTTAGTGCCTGGTACCGGCAGTCTGAGAATCACTGCATGAAACTATAACTGAGAACCTACATGCTGAAGAGCTCTCCTCCAAAGCTATTGAAAAACTCACTACCGCCCTCTCACCAGAAATACATTGTGTAATGATCTTGTCCTGTAGATAGTCCTAGATACTTGCAACTAGAGTTACCCGCCTTTCTTCTCCTTTTTGTATTTTTAAAAAAAGAGTTATCGTCCTTTTATTCTCTATTATTTCTGGTTTTATTCTCTGTTAGTTGCCTAGAAAGTGGTTACATTTTCTTTATTTGGTTGTGTTGGGCATAAAGAAAATCGATTTTTAGCTTCCCCTTGTTGCACTGAAATTATATGTTATCATCCTCGGTTGTTGTTTTTTTTTTTGATAAAGGCAATGCTCATAGAGTTACCAACTTTATTATTTTAGAAAACAATAACACAGTTTTTCATTACGAAATAATATTCCCGCTGTTGAGGCATCTTTCAAATGACAGTTATAGAATCAGTAGTAATTTATTCAAACCAGCTTGTTAAATGTTGTATGGAAAGTAACGAATCCTCTTGAGACCTAGCGATCCATTGGGTAGATGAAGTAGAGTTCATATGTTTCTTGACCTTGGTATATGAAGGGGAAGCCACACTATGCCCAGCCGCTTTAATTTTTTCCTAACATGTGTTAGGTACCCATCAGAGCTGGGTGGACTCAGGGACGTCCTACTGCCTTAGACCCGAATTCGAACTCGAGACTTTCGGGTTAGCAGTATAGGCGCTAAATGTAGTACCAGCTTGTTATTCATACCAGCTTGTTAAATATAGAACAGGAAGATGATGGGAATCAAAACTAGTTATTAGTTGTAGACTAATAGGTCTTATACCACATTAAAACGTAACTTAATGGACTGGGTTCAAAGCTATTTCTGACAAGAAATGGGGAGCAGGGGTTAAGTAAGGTTCCCTTTTCAAACCTGACAGTCCATGGGTCAAGTAAAGTAGAGTTCATCTGTTTCTGTGACCCCGGCATATAAAGGGATGGTGTGATCAACACTATGCTTAGCTGCCTTTACTTTCCCTAACGTGAGGCAGGTACTCAACAGAGCTGGGTGGACTCAGGGACGTGCTAAGACTCTAGCCGAGGACCCAAACTCGAGGCTATAGGTTTGGCAATCGAACTCTCTACAACCACGCCGTCCGATCAAAGTCCCATGTGGGAGGGGGCAGGGGGGGGTCTTAATTTTTTGCTGAAGAGAAAACCGTGTGGAATGTTGTTAATGTTTTTTAAAAAAAATGTTCAGGCGTGTTTCTAGAACTGTGTTTCTGAAACATCTTATTCAGTCCCTAAATCGCATTAGCAGTATTTTCCCCAGAAAACGAAGGGTTACTATTCCGCCGTTAATTATAGCCATTGAAACTACACACAAACTAAAAACGTCTACTGAGGCAGGGGTGGATAACTCGGAGTTCACTAATTATAAAAGAATTTCAAAACAAGCTTTCGGTTACCAAGAAAGTTAGGACGAAAATAACTACTATTTTTTTTTCAACAACTTTGATTCTTTTTTCTTTAAAGCCACTACGCTTATGGGTTCATCGCGTGTCCTTAAATCATCTGTCTACTTAAGATTAGTGGGAAAACACGGTGTAAATATTTCATTAAGGGGACATAACGCGCAACTTGTTTCATTTACTGAAAGTGGCTTGACCTGATAAATGTCACACATTTTACTGCAACGAAAATAGACTTTTTTAAAAATTATTCCTCTTTTTACCTAATAGTAGAATTGATACTGTTCCAACCCCCCACTCCCACCCCTCCATCTTATATAAACTGTAGTGATATGTTTCTAACACTGTTCGTCAATCTACTAAAAAACAAAAAGGTTATTAGGTTTTTTTGAAATTTTACTCTCCCATTGCACTAGAGCATGGCATACAAGAACAGGGTGAAGAATCAAGATTCACAACTTGAGGGTGGAGGAGTGTGGGGAGGGGAGGGGGTTCCTCCTGGCATCGAACCACCCAGCTTGAACGTGAGGTGTAGTTCGATTAGGGGACAATCTCCAGCCCAGGTTCCGAACTCATGACTGTTAAATTAGAAAGTTCGCGCTCTATCTCTGCATCATGGCGTCCCCTAAACTACTTCTAGCAACCTATCCATCCCCACACCCCCTCCACCCTTTTTTTCTCATCTTTTAGATGATATATATTATAATGGTCTTATCTGAATTGGGTATGAACACCTCCACCCCCACAGGCCAATATGTCTGAAGGCCGAATAGTAATTACTCGTTGGTTTTGATTAGCTGTGAGGTCTAGTTAAATTAAATTTCTTTAGTAATTAAATAATTTTAAATTCTTGTCGTCATTATCTAGAAAAATAAAACCTCCCCCCTTTCCGTTTTGACGTCACCAGCTCGATTACATCAATTACCCCCTAGATTTTATCCATTCCCCCCTTCATCCCATACACAGCCTACACCCCACCCCCACCCGCTAAACGCGTGACATTAGTTATGAAAACCGGCTCACGGCAGGTCTAAAGTAGATAAACACGAGTAGTGAAAGCGCAAAAGGCCAAAGTTCACGAAGGTCTTTTTTTTTTTTTTTTTTTTTTTTTTTTTTTTTTTTTTTTAAATAACCTCTAACACCATCGACTGACATTACAACTTTTTTATTTTTTCATTCATTTATTTATTCTCTCCACACAGTCCCAGCGAGACTTTCCCGATTTTCCCTGCTCAACGCTCTGCGCTCTGGGACCTACGTTGTGAGCGAACCCAAAACCATGTCGGACGCCGAGAGCGAACACAAAATGGCGGACGAAGTGGAGGACGAGGATAAGGTCGTGGATAACGGCGCCATGCTGGATGACAACAACCAGGAGGTGCCCCTAACCAAGATGGACCACGGGGTCAGCGAGATGCCGTCTCACTTGAGCGTCTCCAAGAGAAATCACTCCGTCCACCGGTAAGAATTAACGTTATTTCTTTTATAGTTACCTCCCCTTTTCCCATTTTTTTTTAAGTTTCTGTTTGATTTGATTTTTTTTCCCACCCTTTTAATCAATTATTCTTCGTTAGGGCTAGAATCGATTACAGAAGAAACCACTGTTTAAATAGGATCGATGCCATTAGGGGCAGATAAATCTTATTTACCGCGTTGAACATGTGTGCTTTCCCCTTGTTATTTCGGCTTGACATTAGCTTTTTTGGGAGTGAAGGTCTTTCCGATCCTTAGGGTAATTTTTTTTTTAACATAGATGGGAAATTTATTACAGGAAACGAGATTTTTTTTCTCTCCTAAATACACGTATCTAGTGTGATAGATGTCAAACTGCTAGGGACACTGGGGAATTTTTTTTTTCAATTTTCGTAATTTTTTTTCGTCTAGTTATTTTTTTTTTAATTTGTATTATCCCTACTCTAACCCTATACCAATTCTAACCCTAGTGTTAACCTAACCCCCAGTCCTTTCCCAACCCTAACCAATGCTTCTAATCCTAGTACTAACTTCAATTTAAAATAAATTTGTTAAAAATTAAAACTGCAGTAAATTGTTGCTTCCCTTGTCTCCTAGCAACCAATATTAAACACCCACTCGGTCAATGTAAACAATCATGCCCCGAGTCGTTCAGTGCGGGGTTTTTTTTGTCCTGTTTTCCCCATGTAGTTACCATCAACACATTTTTTAACACCATTTTAAAAAGATAAGTTTAGATTTTAACAACCAATAATGTCTCCATTTACTTCAGTATTAATGTTCGATGCAAATACGTAAAGCACTGTTAAATTTTAATTTGTCGATTTTATTTTTATAGGAAAATGGCATGTGTTGTATACGCAAACGGCCCGGCAAAAATTTTTTAAATAAATAACAAATGTTAATTTCATTCATATTTGAAAAACATAAACAAAGAGGCATTTGCGTGCGTTTACAGTATTGAATTATGGGTAATGTTTTTTTTAGTCCGAATCTCTTTTCATGAAGAGGGTCAGGGTCATTGTTGGGTTATGAAAGTCAGCAAAAAATACCTCCCAAAACGCCATGACGGTGATCAAAGAAATACTGGCAGTAAAAAAAAAATCCACCCAAACCGTATGAGAAAATAAACGTCACAGCAGACTAACACGGTGTGGGTCAAGGTCGAATACTTTCAGTTCTACCCCCTAATCTAACCCCGAGTAACCTTTACCCCTTGTTCTAAAATACCAAAATTATCTGCGTGTAGAGCAGTCCCTATCTGCAGCCATCCTGCTCCTAGCAAATATCTTGCCTGTGTATTCCAACTGTCCTCAGTAGGTCAAAGTTCATAACATTCTACCACTAAGCCAATCTGGCAATGGTGTTGGATAAATCAGACATGCCAGATTAATTCCGTAGATTGTGTACGTACTACGTTTTCCGGTTGTAGAGTAAATGTCTTATGAATGAAAGATAGTGCTTGGGAGAATACGTTGTTCAGTGTTAAAAAAAATAACCTCACTCCTACGATCTCCAAAAGGGATATAAAAAACTGTATTTAGTATCTCTAATACTAATCCTGCCTTTATCCTTATCTTAACCATAATCCAAAGCTTAGTACTATTCCTATCCCTGATAAAAAAAACAGTCTGTTGTCTTAATCCTGACAGTGAAATCGGCTAAACGAAAATCTCAATGCGATATAGGAATACCTACCTTTGATATAATGGAAAAATATTCTTATCATCAACAGTTAACAGAATTTCACTTATTCTGACCTAATGTAAACATAACGCTAGCTGGAAATTAACTTAATAAATGACTCGCCTATTTCATAAAACTGGGTAAAAATTAATTTTAAAATGTACCACTCCCCCTCCCCCCATTTATTTATAGTGTAACAAGCATCCCTACATAACTTGTGTAGACTTTCCCTCACGGCTGTTGTGTAGTCTCTGTTGTCTGATTGTATACCCACTATTGTCTGATTGTATACCCACTATTGTCTGATTGTATACCCACTGTTGTCTGATTGTATACCCACTATTGTCTGATTGTATACCCACTGTTGTCTAATTGTATACCCACTGTTGTCTGTATACTCACTGTTGTCTGATTGTATACCCACTATTGTCTGATTGTATACCCACTGTTGTCTGATTGTATACCCACTGTTGTCTGTATACTCACTGTTGTCTGATTGTATACCCACTGTTGTCTGTATACTCACTGTTGTCTGATTGTATACTCACTGTTGTCTGAGTGTATTCTCACTACTGTCTGATTGTATACCCACTGTTGTCTGATTATATACCCACTGTTGTCTGATTGTATACTCACTGTTGTCTGATTATATACCCACTGTTGTCTGATTATATACCCACTGTTGTCTGATTGTATACTCACTGTTGTCTACACATGTCTAATTGTATACCCACTGTTGTCTGTATACTCACTGTTGTCTGATTGTATACTCACTGTTGTCTGATGTATACCCACTGTTGTCTGATTGTATAACCTCTGTTGTCTGTATACCCACTATTGTCTGATTGTATACCCACTGTTGTCTGTATACCCACTGTTGTCTGTATACCCACTGTTGTCTGTATACCCACTATTGTCTGATTGTATACCCACTGTTGTCTGTATACCCACTGTTGTCTCTATACCCACTGTTGTCTGTATACCCACTGTTGTCTGTATACCCACTGTTGTCTGAGTGTTTACCCACTGTTGTCTGATTGTATACTCACTGTTATCTACACATGTCTTTAGCCATACGTGACCCAGTTTTTATATCTAGTTATGGTTTCACCAACAATCATAAACTACGTGTAATCAAGATTCGAACCTTGGAAAATTGTATTAAATCACAGGCGTAGTAAACCTTGGCTGTCATTCCAAAGTGTTTACTGTTGTTTTTTTTTTTCTGCAATTATTTTCATTTTTAATCAGCCATATTTTTTTTTGTTTAAAATTTTATTGGTGCAAATATTGAAAAAAACGTTACAGATATACTTTAACAACGTGGGAGAATCGATAGTAAGGAAGTCTCAGTATTTATAATTGTAGGACATATATGATCCGCTACTCTGTATAGCTTTGATATTTTGCATTAAAAAATATTTTTCTAATAAAATCAACCTTGCTTAGAAGGCCCATAAGCCTCCGAGTTAAATATTCAAAAGTTTGCATTTACAAGTCTCTCATCTCTGAACTGCTATTCCTGATCTATCTTGATATAACCCAGCTGTCTATCGCTACCTCACAGTTACCTCCCCTTCCATGCCTTCAGGCTAACGTCCCTTTGAATCTTCATGCCCCACTCGTCATAGTCTTGCTGGTCCTAGTAGCCTGCTCGCCTTGAATACAAGACTGTTGGAGGTTTTAGATAGTGCTGAGCTTACTCGGGGTGCTAAGGGGTAAACGTGATCACTCTTTTTAAAAGTTTTTAAACTTTTATTTTTTTACCTGCATTTATCGAAAATTGTCATCGAAATAAGAAGAATGTTCAAAGGTTGAGTAAAAAAATAAAAAAATAAAAATGTATACATACCTTTTTTTTTAAATCCGAATTTTAACTTTTACATCACATTTACACTTGCGACATGTATACTATACACGTCTAGGAAAAAAAACTACTCGCAACAAGTCAATGTTATATGAAAACATTTTTTTTCCACGGAATGTGTATACTTACTTGTTGCGAGTTGTTTGTTTTTTTTTCAGATAAGTATAGTATACATGTCGCGAGTGTAAACGCGGTATTAGAACGGTGTGGAATCAAACGTTGGGGCACAGATATATTAGCAATATTGGACATCAGGTGTTACTTCAGTTGTTATAGACAGAGGCGTAGCGACCCCTCCAGGCGCCCGGGGCGAACATTCAGTTTGGCGCCCCCCTCCCATATATATATATATATATATATATATATATATATATATATATATATATATATATATATATATATATATATATATATATATATGTGTGTGTGTGTGTGTGTGTGTGTGTGTATGTGTGTGCGACAGTCTTGAAAAAAAATAATTTCGCTGTATGATTGTCGTTCCCTAAAACTTTACTCGACGATAATTAAATTCCCCTTAAGATGCATTATCCTTTAAAGATGATGATTAGTAATGTCAGAGAAAAAAATTGTAGCGGTGCTAAATGGTTTAGGACAGTCTTTTTATGTTTTATCTTTGGAACAGTCGCTGTTATGATATAGTATATATTTGGATTATAAGTTTGTTAGATTAAGGTCATACACATTATTGTTCACACTGGAATACGATATGAGTATTTCGTTGACTGGTTGATTGTATAATGAAACATGCTAGAGCAGGGGTCGGCAACCTTTTGAAGCGGAAGAGCCAAAAGTTACAATTTTCAAAATTTCCCTGGTTTTAAAGAGCCACTAACATTTTTTTATTTCAAATATTTTATTTTTTTATGAAGATTATTAGTATTTGTTCAAGGAGCTGGACAGCCGCATCTTGATATCAAAAGAGCCGCATGCGGCTCGCGAGCCGCAGGTTGCCGACCCCTGAGCTAGAGGAAACACATTTCTTTTCTAAGTGTTAAAAGAGTTATCTAGTAACCGATCCAATACAAGTCCTGCGACTTTTGTTGGTGAAAAAGCGCCCCCCCCCCCTCCCTCCCCACCACCTTGGACAAAAATGGTAGAGCGGATTTTAAACGTCACTAATTCTTATTTTTATGTTACACAATCGTAAAATACGCTTTAGTTCCAAGGTTCTTTTCTGGGTGATATGGGTTATTTATTCCTTAATTTTTCCGATTTTAGTCTTCGAAAAAGCGCCCCCCTCCCATCTAGGAAAGCTGGAAGGCAGTTTTTCCGGTCACTGTTTCTTAGGGAGATACCTTTTACAGCTACTTAATCAAGGTAGAAAACAGTTAAATCAGTATGCAAAGGCTCTCAGCCGTTAAATTTCTTTACTTTGACTGTTTATATTTCAAAACTGCAGCTTAAAATGCGCTTG